TGTTGGAGGTGAATTAGAATCTTCTCACTCTCTTTTCAGAAGTGCATATTCAAGTGACTCCTTAACTGAACACCACCTGAACCTTTTTTGAGCAGTAAGCTAACTTCACTTTTATCAAAAACTGTAGTATTGCTTCATCTATTTTTGTCTCAAGTTTAAATTTGTACACTAGTTTTACAATCAACTTTAGATTTGATTTTTTATTACTGCAGTTTTTAGCCTTTTGAATTTTACTTAAATAATGTGCATGTTTTATGTTGCTGAAATGTTTATTGACTATTGCTATTTGTAGGGGATTTATCTTTTCTTTGAATTCAGATAAAGAAAGAAGGAAAAATAAATGGAGAGAGAGAACATTGAAAACTGTATAAACATTGTTGATTTTCAGTTTGGATGTGGGTTTCATGATTGATTTTATTGATATTATATTTTATCCTAAAATAATGAAAACTTGCAGCTCAAAAGGCTTATGAGCTTCTAACATTTCATAGATAAATTGAGAGGATTTTATAAACAGATTAATACAGGAACATAATAGCATCTGCTTGCTGTCCAGATAAAAGCTCTTAAATTAGAACCTGAATCACTAAGTTTGAGAATCTTTAACATAGGAGATTCCCAAGGACTATTTCTTGAGTGTCCTGTATCATTATTGAGGATACATTATAACCTGATATTACAAAGATCAAGAGTTATTTAAACTAAATTTCCAGTGGTGATTACAAATGTGAGAAAGCGAGAGATAGTATAAAGCCCTTTCAATAGCAATAAATCCCAAACATTAAATTTATTCAATTGTATTCTTGCTTCTTTCATTATTCACCCTTACTGACTTTTTCAGCTGTTGTCTTTTAAGCAACAATTTCCAATTCCTGTTATTATTTTCCTAAGGGTCAAATGATACTTATAATCAAGAATTTAAAGTTTATTTATCATATATATATATATATATATATATATATATATATATTTATTAAAGACATTTTTTATGTTTAAAGTTTTTATTTATAGATTTTTATGTAAACATAAAAAAAAATCTTTTAATAAATAAATTGTCGGACCTTGTCCATTTCTTAATATATATATATATATATATATATATATATATATATATCACATGCATTATCAATCATTTTAAATAGAAAAGTTAGTTAAAAAAATAATCACTAATTAAAGAAAACATTAAAAGTATTTTTTTTAAAGCTTAAATTTGAAAAGGTGTCCAAGATAGATGTTTCCTATCAGTGCCACAGATTGGTGTTTGAGTTGAGGTTAAAAACCTTGATTTTAAATGATTTCAAAATCATTGGACTTTATACTATGATTAACCAAAATTGAAAAGGTGTAAATTTGATATACAAAATAAATTAATAATTGTAATAATAAGGATGCTTATAATTTTTTTCAGTTCTAAATAAAAGAGCATGTGTACAGAAAAGAACTTAAAACCTTAACAAAATAGTCAATAACTTGGCATGTTATTCCTAGACAATATACTGTACACATTATTATTATTATGTTGGTTTCCTTAGTTCAGATATTTTTGTGCATAAATACATATTTCCATGGAAGTATTGTCTGCTTTTACTTAGACTATATTTAACTCACAAAGTTATTACATTTAAATGCTTGCAGAATTTTCAAGTTTTACTAAAGCAGATATAAACACCTGTTGCATGTCTTTTAGCTAATACTTCTCTTTTATAGTCTGACAGCAAATATTTGGAATATAGAAAAAGCAACAAACCGTAAAGTATTGCTTCACTAGGAAATGTGAATATAATAAAAATTAGGTTGTTTTTCCTTCTTTTTTAATAGCAGTTCCCATTTCACTCATAATGTTAGATCTAGAATAAAGGGTGAAAGAGAAATCAAACAAAAAATATGGTTTCCTTATTTCAAATTGTCTGACCAATTCCAACAGTTGGTTGCAGTGCTCCTCTTCCTCTGTGCCAAAGTGTTGGACATTCAAAAGGCAGAGAAAGTGTTTGCAAGAATACTCTACACAAAATATTCTAGCAATGTTCTAACCAGGCACATGTATATATGGGCTCTGTGGCCAAATCTATATCAATACTAGTTGGTCAAGTGATTTTGTTACGATGTGCTTAGTCACATGATTTACAACATAGTGTTATTTATTGTGATCACATAACTGTATATGAAAGATGTCTCTCTGAATATATAACAGCATATTGCTAACAGAGATGACTGAGATTTAAGATTAAAAATGATCGTTTTAATCTTGGGATGTTTTCTACCTGTATTTCTGGGATGAGGAGTTATCATTACTTACATTTACAAATTTGGATTATTGTTGTCATCTTTGTATTTATCGTTGCAACATTCCAGCCATGGTGCATTTTGGCCTTAATTCAGTGCTTGTCAATCCAATTAACATTCAGGGAATTTCAAACAAAACCCTTTACAAAGTAGATTGTTCTTGTTCCATTGACTATGTCATCTTGTGGTGAACACATGCCAAATACAAAAAAATGTCTTGTGAGAACCAGTTACATCCAGGTTTTCCTTGTATTTTACAAAACTTGCCAAGTTTTTATTTAGTACATCTCAGTTATTGCTTTCCCTGTTTTCACTGAAACTGCACTACTCAGCTCAGAGATTGAATTCACAATTACTAGGTCACCAAATTCACTCTCAGATAGTACATACTACAAATAGTTTAGCTGTGTGCGTTGAAGAAACACAAATGTGTCAGAGCAGGCTTCTACAACAGGGATTAATTAGCCACCCTAATAGATTCCATAGGCTTTTGAGACTGATGGATGCTTATAAATATGTCGCAACTTGGTAAGGTGGTCTGTAGCAACAATGGACAACACAGTTTTGGCTTGGTGCCTTTTGTCTGTCGAAGCAATGCTCAAGTTTTTTATTCACACATAAACCATATGGCCGACACAGTACTTCCATGTCTGAACAATAGCTGAAATGGTGGTTCCATTTCCTTAGTTCCTATATATATATATATATATATATGGGCAATTTTCAAATAAATTGGCGCATAGAATTGCAGATACAAAATACAAAGTTCATGCTTTTGTAAGTGTACTTTTGACAGTCTCAGTCATTATCAAGAATTATACTGATAAACATTCAGTTGTTGATAATGGCCAAGATGGTGGAAAGTGCTAGAATGATGAACTTTGGATAATTTTCCCACAAATATGATCCAGATATACAACTTGTTCCAAAAGTTTGGAAAAAAAAAAAAAAAAAAAAAAAAGTCCTTGTCAATATTTTATTGACAAAAACTGTTTTTTTTTCTATTCCATTTTGATAGCACGTGAAACCATTTTGATTCCAATCTTGTGACAAGACTAATTGCTCTACTATCTCTAGACTACTACCTACTTTCGCTAAAAATGGCCAAAGATGATATGAAGTACTTGAAACATTACACACAATTTTAGCAAGCTCCTTTATAAGTTTCCACTAGACAACATTCTTTGTTTATTTGAGAAAATATGTTTAAATAAATATATACTATATAACTTTTTTTAACAAAGTATACCTAGACAGCAATCCTTCATTTAAACAGGTTTTATTGATTAGAACAAGCAAAAATATTTATGGAGCCTTTTACTGTGTTTCTTCTAGGATTGAATTAAATGCTTTAACTTAAATGGAAACATAAAGGTACTTATTGAATTTAGAGTTTGAGATCTAAATACTTTTGACCATCACTGATTATTATCAAGAAAAAAAAAGAAGCTATTTCTGTACTTTCAATTTTTTTTTCTTGAAAATGACAAATGAGGGTTAAAAAATAGGTTTCAACTTTTAATTTTGACAAGTACTTTTATAAGTTTCCACCTGAATGAAATGGTTTATTTGGCACCAGGAGAAACTCAGTAGAAGGCTTAACAGATATTAGTTATCATAAAATCAGTGATTCTCTTAAGTGTGCCACAAAATATTGTCATGCCATATATATATATATATATATATATATATATATATATATATATATATGTGTGTGTGTGTGTGTGTGAAGAAATTGTGAAAAAACACCAGGTACAGGTTTCACACTAAATAAGTAGCACAAATATTTGAATAAAAACATTGAAAGAAAGTTCATATTTGTGCATTAATTTTTTTTAAATGCATACCCTTTAAAAATTTTGTGAAGTGTGTCGTGATATTTTAATTTACTCCTAGGTGTGTTGGTTGCTTAAAAATGTTGACAAACACTGCATTATATATATATATATATATATATATATATATATAAAGAGAGAGAGAGAGAGAGAGATTTTTTTTCTCTCAGTGGTCTTAATAAAAAAAATAAAAACACTTCATGAGAAAAATTAGAAAGTTATTTGTCAGTTTGAAGTTGAGTTGGTTTCTTAAGTATGTCAGTAATTTTTAAGATGATCAACTTAAATTGAGAAGCAAATATCTGTTGTTTAAGGCAGGCAATGTCAGTTCTAAGAAATAATTTGTTATAAAAACTGATTTATAGAATGAACAAACACAAGAACGTTATGCAAGAACGTTTTCAAAAGATTTGAATTGTAAGACCTGTCAGTCAGAAACATTTTTGGATTATGAATAACACGCATTAAACAGATTTCAAAGGAGGAGGATTAGGAGGAGGAAGATGACTATCTCAGCATATCAGGTGGCTTTATGATACAATTGCTTAGCATATTATTTTATGCTTCACTGTATAATATCTCCATTCACTGTATTTCCCATCATGTCCTAGTTTGGCAAATCAAGGGCTAATTTTGAAAACATTTTGTCCACAAAGAAAAACAGCAGTCAGCTGTAACTGACAGATGTATTTAAGTATATTGCATACAGAGGCTTATTATGAATTGGAGAATATCCAGTACATGATGTTTGTTCACAAAGTAGAAAAGTAAAATAACCAGAGTTTGGAGCAAGCCTTATTTCACGTAAATCATTTAAATTCAAAGAAAACAAAATGAAAACTGGAAACAAAGGGAATAATAATAAAATTAAAATGATAATACCTTCGTTTGATCTCTTCCATGGCCAGGTCTTGCTTTTGTATATACTGTTCCCTAAAAACTTTGGTACTTCGTATCAGGAGCATGTAGCATTCTTCTTGGCTAATGTTCATTGTCTTGCTGCCCCTGAAACAGATTTATAAATTGCAAAATAAAGTGTCAAACTCAAGCTTAGTGTAAAAGAAGTATAGAAAACTAAAAAAAGTTCTTGTGCTGAACCATTTCCCAAAATCTTTGTTAGGCTGAGAACTTTTCAACATACTCTCTTATCCTATATTACCACAGCTAAAATTTATTAAACAAATATATCAAAAATTGTATTCACTTTAATGATTATACATACAGTTATGTACTTGAATAACAAAATAGAAGAAAACTCCCACATTACACATTTCATCCCTCAAAAGGACTTCTTCAGACTAATAATGATTTTATGAAACAATAAACTTATGCATTTGTTATTCATTAGAATAGTTCTGACCATAATTTTGACTTCAAGAATGAAGATTTAATTAAAAGTAATTTATTAAGATGAAAATATATTGAATGTACAATACTTTCAAAATCTCTTACAGTAAATTTATGTCCTTAATCATACAACATATCTCCTTTCCTAACAAGACTACTGCTATTACAATGTTGGATATTTAAAAACAACTGCAATGAAAAATAAAAACAAAAGCTGTAGAAAGATGAATGAGGTTAGCTAGGTTATTTATCTAAATACATTGAACACCAGAAATTTAAAAATTAAATACATCCCTGTATCTTCAGTGTTTCTCAGTGTAAAATTATAACTGGTATTTTTTGCATCTTTTCTTTACATATGTATTAGAATCCATCTTCATCAATAAAAACATTAGCAGCAAATAGCCAGTACAAAATTGCTCATATGAACAGCCGATTATTAAATGTTAGGCTGTGTAATTCTTTTTTGCTACACCAGTTCTGCCAATATGTACATCATAGCATTACACAAACAATGGTGATAATATTCACATTACACAGAAATTGATTGGCATCTTATTCATTTTTGTACTGACATAAATATGTTTGGAATTATTCACAGAAATATGTAAACAAAGGGTGCAGCTATTAGATTTAGTCTATTTGTAAGAGTATGAATCAGCACTACATCAAATATTAGGTTTTAAGACATTTTATGGACTAAAAAATTATGGGAAATACTTGTACCACTACTACAGTGATTAGATGCTAGATTATTGTATCAATAAACTGGCACTACAGGTTAAATGAACTGGATATAAAGAAACAAATGTCAAATTAGGATTCTTGACTTTTATAGGTTTACAGTTACTAAATAAGAGATAATACTGATTATATCTGTGCCTCTAAAATTCTGTAAATAATTAACACTCTTGTTTAAGTTGTTGTTTCAAGTCTTAAGAGACCTTCATAATTTACTCAGATGTCAATTTTAAGATTTTGTAAAATCAGCAACACCAGAATAGTTGTGGTAATAAAATAAGCACATCCCATCTTTCCTCTCGCTTGTAACTATAAAATAGATGTTTTTCAGCACTAAAACAGAATGAGTCAAGTAAAATTTCATAAGCTTCTACTTAGAGTTGTTGTGATATTACAATAGTGTAAATATTTAAAAATATTACACTCTTTTTGACAAAGCATTTGAACAGAAAGACATTTTTGATTACTACAAAGAAGAGACCTTTCTGAACATTTTTCTTATGTATAATTTCAATTTATTTTCTACTTGGAAGTAGATCTACCATAAAAAAGTGCTGAAAAGTTCTTGGTCCAACCCACTTTCAAAAAGAAAAGAAAAAAAAAGAAAAGAATTCTGATATGTGGTCACTGAAATACTGATTTTGGTAAGAGGGTCAGGATGAGAATGCCTCAACACTCCTTCATCAATAAAATAATCCAACAAAGATTATATTTGAGACCTGATGATCATCAACATATTTTCCTGTCTAATACTAAAGTGGTTTTTATTGAAAATTATAAACTATAAATACTAACATCTGTTATCAATGAGAGATATTTGGGTCATTCAAATAATTTAGAAGTTTCTGAGATGTTAACTGAATATGACATTTTAGCATCATTTTGATAAATTTCAACCCAAGAAGAATTTATAGTACGATAGAAATCTCAAATTACATCATTTCTCAACATAACATCCTGATTCCACTGTAATAGTTTTCCCCTTTTTAATACATTAATTACTGTTGAGGGATCATTGCAAAGTTTGCTTATGTCTATAAAGAAATTGAGATTGCTTCAGGCAAATAGGACTGGAAATAATCAGTCTAAAGCATTTCCAGTAGAACAAGAGGGAGAGAAAATCTTTTTTTCTTCTTTAAACTATTTTTATAAAGAAAAAAAAAATTATCCAGTCTCAAGATTAAAATGTAGCAAAACTCATAAAATGATTCTAAAAGACTGGGCTTTTTCATTAGCTCCCACCCCACAAAAGCTTATATCCATAATTTTAAAGTATGGAAGTTTAAAAAAAGTAAAAAAAAAAAAAAAAAAAAGTTGCATTTTCTTTTTGTTACTGACTAGAAATTTAAGCAATAAATTTAGCAGCAATTTCATCCTTGAGTATCAACACATTTCAACCTTTTTCCTGAACAATTAGTCTTGTATATCAGTTTAGTTGAACTCCAAATCAATTGTCAGAGTTTTGCATCTTTGCCTGAAGAAGAGGCTAATGCTGACAAAAGTTTGAAATAGGAAAACAATAGCAATATAAGACATAACATTTTAGAGCTTTTTGTCTACACCAGACCAAATTTTTCATGAATAGCAGCAATTGATATATTAAGTTTATTTTGTTATTCCTACCCCCCTGCATTATAGTTTTCTTGATCAGGACTATTGAAACAGACTCAATGTTTTGGGGTCAAAATTTATTGAGAAAACAAAGATACAATGTCATATTTCTTTTTAAGTTTCCATACTTTTAGATGATGAAATTTAGCATTTGGGACCCCCCCCCCAAAAAAAAAATTAAACATTTGCAAATAATTTGGGTTTCATGCAATTTGTTAAGTATTTTTGATACTTTCATCAGTTGAATCCATCCCATGGATTTTATAAGCACACAATTGTATCAAGTGCTAAGAAAGTTGTTCATTTGTAGGCAGCTTATAAATTTGTTTGAAATGAAATTGTGTTCCTTCCACTGTGTTAATTGACTTTTATTAGACCAATTAGAAATTACTTTGAGATGGATTGAAGTTTTCTTTTATCATCTCATTTTATATAAATTGATTGACAATAATGAAAATATTAATGATAGAAATGATTTGAGCAAAGTGTCAATCAAAATGCAACAACAAGATATTTTATTTGGTGGCTGAGAGTTAAACATTAACTCTGACATAATTTGTATCTTTTCCTTTTATTTTTGAACAGATCACAAAATTCTCCAGTTTTTAAATAAATATAAAATTTAAAAAATTATAAAACATATAAACATCTACACTGGCTGTTTATTAGCAAACATTAGTCTTTTTTTTCTTACTAAGGTTTTTATTTGCCATTATGATAATACTGAATATATACTTGCTTGGTTTGGCCCAAGGCTAAAAATGGAGAGAGATTTTGGAGTTGAAAGATTGTGTTGCACCTATTTTCCAAGCGGGAAAAGTCTATCTACCTACCTAGAGAATTAACCTTTGAAATTATGATCTGAATATCTGAGCTGGAAATGTAAAAAATCTGGAAACTATATCATCTACTAAGCAGGTTAGTGATAGTACACAAGGATGAATGAAGGATATTGACTACTTTTTGTCTGAGATAAATCTGTAGATGAGGCAGAGAAATATCTTCTCCCAATACACCATTTTATAATAGTTTTTCAGTTGCATTCAAAACAAGCAATAATTTTCAGCTGATTTGACCTACAATTTTTATTCTAAATGATCAAAGAGAAAAACACTTACCTATTATCCTTTTTGAATATCAATATTAATGCTAAAGTAGATGGGGGGGGTAGAGAAAGAGCATGTGTATCACATTCTACAACCCCTTTCCCAACTGATGAAATGTTGCAAACTTCTCACTACTCTATTGCTATTTCCATGGCGTGTGTTCTAACAAACTACATTCCTTGGTTCTACCAGTCCTGACCATTGCAGCTGGGACCTATCATGCCACGTACACAAGGATGAATCATCCTCATTCCCTTCATATTACATTAGTAAAAAGTAAATTCCACTTGGACAGCTTCTTCACAAGAACTACTGCTGCTTTGTGGAACAGACTCCCAAGAGGATGTTTTCCCAATCACTGCAATCTTAATCTTGTCAAGTCTAGAGTTAACTATTATTTCTTATGCATAACATCATAAACTGCACTTCTTGCCTTCTCTTACATTCATACAACACCAGAGCATAAACCTTTACCTTGAATGGCTCTTGGGCCTTGTATTGGGTGAACATTAGAATAAAAAAAATTTAAAAAAACCTAATAGGCTGTAAAAGATAAATAAATAAGAAAAAATATTCATGGATACAAAATATAAATGCAAATATAGCAGGAAATAAAAATAAAAATTTATATTTATAGCTTCTTACTTGAGTAGTGGTGTGCTGGTTGTTCTCTGGAGGATCTTTGAGATATGCTTATCAAAAGGCTCCTTGGAGAGTTCTTTGAAGGGAGAACCCATAGTTTTTGAAGTGGTTTGCATTGCACTAATCATTGCTGGCGGTAATTTATAATGGTCACTAGAAAACAAAAAGATATTTTTAATGAGAAAATAAGTAAACCCAAAACAACAACATATTTTAGAGAATTAAATTCCAAACTTTCTACACATGAAAATGGAATAATTTGATGCTTCATATTTATTTGTAGTTTTCAGATTTTATTTTGATTTCTTTTTGTCAAATTTCAAATCACAATGTTTTATTTTGAAGATGCCACAGTTTGTGGTTTGAAATTTGACATCTAACCAATGTCTTTATCCACTGTGTATGAAAATATTCAGTTCATGATCCAGTGACTAGAACCAAAGAGTTGTAAGCTCAATACCTGGTCACAGCAGTGGTGAACCAAAAAATTGGAGAGTTAAGTTAAAGAGAAATAACTGAGACATCTGGAAAAGGCATGGCACGTGGAACCAGAACAATCTACCCCAGTGGACCAAATAAATAATAAAATCCAATCAACTGAAGAAGGCCAGAGCGTACAACAGCTGAAACGTTGTGAATATGGCAATGAAGATGAGGATAACAATTCAAGTAATGTAAATAATGCAAATAATCATAATACCTCAAGTAAGCTTAAAAATATTATAATTGATTATACACATTGATAGCCAATAGTTGCTTGATGGATTGTGGTATATAATTTAGTAAATCATTGAGTAATGAGTTTGATCCTCACTGAGTGACCCATACTTATGGTACAGTGCCCAAAACAAAGTTGCACTTAGTAAATAATGGGATACACTGATTTGCAATGAGTTTGCTATGAATTGAATAACAAGCATCTGGGCCTGAAACATCATTAGCACAAATCCAAAGCACCTTAGCAGTACCTATAATAGCAACAGACTTTGTTGGTTGTCTATCACTGTATGAGAGTACCAAATACACATACAGCCTTATCAAATTTGTTTTTGTATTCACAATTTTTTTAGTCCATGTTGATCAGCCTCAAAATAAAACATTAATTTATTGATGTGATATTTGAATTAATTGACCAAATGTTAATGTCAGAACACTGAGCAAGAAATATGAAACTCAGCTGGAAAGTCAAAATAACATTCTACATGATCCAATTTAGGGTAAGATTAGTTAGCAGACTGCCAAGAGATTTCATAAAAAAAGGTTTTATTAAAAAGATAAAATGATTGGTTATACTTTAAATTTCTATGACCATTTAAACTGTTTTATGTACTGACTAAATTAAAATACTCACAAAACCAGTATTAATTTAATCAAACTTTCCTCTGTATAGAAAACAATTGATGAAACATCTAAAAAAACACACCTACACTAACATTTAGTATTGAATGACAAGAAAATATTATCCAATTCATATTTTTTCAGACACACCATTAGCAAATCATTAAAGGAAAGATATGGATGAGAAATGAATAACAAAAAAAATGAGTAACACTTTATTTGGGACACTTTTAAACAAGATAAAGCAGAACTAATTTAAAATATGTATTCTGTATATAAACGTTGGTGATTGTGTTTTTTTTTCTCGATTAAATCATTATTTATGCAACAGTCAATTTTGTAAATTAAACTAAAATTTCAATAAAGTGATTCATTGCTACAACTCTGCATAAAAAAAAAAGAAAAAGATATTTAAAAATTATGGATAGTCACCTATCCTCACCAGACCTCATTTCAATTAATATTTATTATTTGTCCATGAAAGTACTTTTACTTAAAATAAGCTTGAAAAGAAAATTAAGCAAAAGGAAGAGTGGGAAAGAGAGATCTATGAAAATATAATACAATAAACTGGTGTTGAATGTTTGACAATGACAGCACAAGGTTGGGTTTGATTTGGTTTATGGCATATCAACCCATTGGGTCATTTAATGCTGAAATTTAATGTTTTTTTTAAAATAAACTCTTGTATTTAAACAGTCAAAAAAATGTTATTTTAAATAGTAAGGCTGCTGTTGGTTATGGTTATTCTTTTCATTATATTTTTTTAAATCAGTTTAATTTCTCTTAGGAATTGAAATATGCAAAATGAATCAATATTTTGAAAGTTCTTTTATTGTTTGTTTAAAAACATATCAAAGCCTTAGAGGTCATTTAATGCCAAAATTTAATGGGGGGGCATTAGTAATTTCTTTTACTAAAATGTATTGCTGGTAATTTTTTTTTTAAACTGTATTGCTGGTAATATTCTTTTTTCTTTACAAAAATGTATTGCTGGTAATAGTTTTTTATTATTAAAATGTATTGCTGGCACCTTCACTATAAAACGTATTTCTACACTTTCATAGTATTTTGATCCCAGTTTGGGGGTTAACTATTTGCCCATAGCTGGGACCCTAACAGGTGTTACTACCCTGGGTCAGGGTGGGCCTTGGAACAGCAGCATTTAAGAGGTGGTTCCATACTCCTCGAAACCTTGCTGCCAGATATAGTTTATCATCACACTTAGGATCCAAAGATTCTCAATGGAGGGAGGGTGACAGGGACAGCACAAAGAGCTGAATGGAGGGATGACAGGGAGAGCACAAAAACCTGAAAGTGGGGTGACAGGGACAGCATAAAGAGCTAAGGGGTGAGTTATATACTTTACAGCGATAGTTCAGGGAGCTGAAGGAAAAGTGCACATGTGACTGATAGTGCAACAAGTGGAACAAACAGTTGTGTGTGGGACAATGACAATGCGAAGAGTGAAATTTAGGGAGGATTGGTTTGGTTTGTTTGGTTTTATAGCATATCAACCTCAATGGGTCATTTAATGCAGACAACTTTTTTTTTTCCTGGTAATATTTTTGTTTTGTCAAAAATGTATTTCTGTTCATATTTTTTTCCTCAAAAATGTATAGCTGGTAATATTATTATTTTTTCAAAAATGTACAGCTGGCAACATTTTTTTTCAAAAATGTATTATCAGAGGCCTTGCTGTTGGACATAGTTTATCGTCTTACCCAGGACACGGATGTAGTCTGAGTGTTAACTATTTGCCCATAGCTGGGACCCTAACAGATGCTACCACCCTGGGTCAGAGTGGACCTGGGAACACCAGCAATTAAGAGGTGGTTCCACATTCCTCAAAACCTCCTGATCAGAGGCCTTGCTGTTGGATGTAGTTTATCATCATACCCAGGACGCTAGGGAGGATTGGTAAATAGTAATTAATAAATGAATCTGACAGAGTTGATATGTCAAGAGACAAAAAATAAAAAGGTATTACACATAATCAGTAAACATAACGAAAACAAGGGAATAGATTGGATGGTGACACGTATGTCTCATAAAGACATTGCATGTTGCAGTGGTTTTAAGTGAGAATTTATTTTTGTGCAAAATGTTTTAAAAAGACCTAATAAGAATTGGGTGACAATGGAAAGAAACTGCCCCCTCTTAATAGAGTGGAGGGTGTTGAAAAAGTTAGTAAAGAAATGGATACAGAAACAAAAGGGAATTTGGAAGAAATAAGTGAAAAAAATAAGGCGATAAGTGAAGGAAATTGTAAAATAAACAAAATCAGAACAGGTCAAGTAAAAGATGAAAGGAAGTCAATAACAACAGCAAAGAAAACTTAGTGGAAGATATAAAAACAAGCAAAAAGGTTTCATAATCTGTTGGTGCCAATCAATGACATGGTGCTGAATTATTTTATGCCATAAAAATGATGGCGCTCATACAGATCTTCTCAATGTGTAACAGCATCAATGAAAGTGAATAAACTGAATCCAATACGTTTTTTGTATTATTTGTTCTTCTACTGCTCTCTCTCTTTTTTTTTTTTTTTTTGGTAAGACACGACTTTTGGACCACCATGTATAACAATTTGCCATCAACTGAACAGGCTTTTGCTTTCAGAGAATCAATCATATATTTTGATGACAGTTACAGGAAACAAATGCCCATCAGCATCAAACATATGAAGAATTTCTTATTACTATAAGACTTTGGCAATTAGTTGTTGTTCAATGATTTCAAAGTGAAACAAAAATCTATTTCTTGACAAATATAAAATGAATTCTCAAAATTGAAAAGATTTCTAACTGATAAACTTTTTTGCACAAAAATAAACATTTGGACATTATCACGTAAAACCACTGCAACATGTAACGTCTTTATGAGACATACATGTCATCATCCAATCCATTCCCTTATTTTTGTTATGTGTACTCAATCATGTGTAATATAGAGAAAGCAGTAGCTTTGATATTTTAATCAGTTTCTACAAGTTTGAGTGAATGTTACCAGTTAGTGTGATTCTAGAGTTAAACAATTCAATCTAAGTGTTGGAATTTTTATATTTTCTGCATGGATACGTAAAGGCCCATTTACATAACCAATTTGGTTAATAGTAATTCTATTTTCATACTTTGGGGCACTAACTGTTGAAAAATGTTCAGTATATCAATATATTATAGGAATACTGTCATGTTTGGGTGTTATTGAAGCAAGTGACCTATTCTTTAGTTAATAACAAAATAACAAGGAACTAAAAGGCCTAATCATAAAAACAAATGAAAAGCCTACATTCAAAATTTTTAAAACTTTTAAAAAATCCATTGACAGTAAAATTGTATACATGATGCATGGATACTAATACATTTTAAAGTTGAATGTATAATTTTTTTTTTTATTTTTATTTAAATATAATCAATAAATATCCAGATCTCATTCTTTTGCTCTATTTAAAGTGTGACCTCTGGCTGATTGTAAAAATGAAATTCTAATAGGAAATTTTATTTGCATATTTATTGAGATATTTTATTCAAATTGATCAAATCCTACTTTCTACTTATATATTATTATGTTTGAGAATATCTGAGTTTAAAGTCATTAAGTAAGAAGTTAATGGACCTTTTTAATTCAAATAGACAGTTTTAACATCACAAATTAGAAAAAAGAGATTTGGGCCCAATAACAGAATGAAAAGGGTCATGTTTGCTATTCTTTTATAAAATTATCCTTTTCTTTATTTTAGTTTTATTTTAGTCAGACAATATCAAACATCAGCAAAACAAAACAGATGAATGACATCTGAAGATAAATTTATA